TCCCGAGAACACAGCTACAGTGCCTGGTATGACGCATGTACAAGGATCGGGTGGGCTCTTGGCCCCCAAATCATACACCTCCTGATCGTTTGCCCCTGCTAAAGCTCCGAGAATTTCTAGCTCCTGGGGGTACCTGGCCATGACCATAGGCCTGCACTGTGACAATCTGGCCTTGGACAATTTGGCTAATCTCAGAGTGGGTGGTGCAAAGAACACTGGGCTGGGACTACCAGTCCTACAACTAATGTTCTGTGTCACCTCAGGCAAATCCCTTCCCCTCTCTGAGCTTGGTTTCCTCAACTCTAAGATAAGGGAGTTGGATTTGCCTTCAAAGGGCCTCTCTGGTGGCGCCCTTCCAAGACTCGGTGCCCCATGCTGACTTCCCCCGCTGCCAAGGGAGGACGAGTTCTCACGGAGCGCTCTGACTTGTTGGGAGGATTAATGCTCATTAAGTGCTTCAAGGCTGGCAGCAGGCACCAAGTGTAAGGGGTCACCAACTACTTGCTTGGTAACCCTTGTGCTGGCAAGAGGCCAATTTATTCCACGGCCTTGAACCCTAACCTTCCCCTGCCTCTTCCCTGTTAAAACTTCTATTGAAAGCTGCTTAAACGAAGGGGTGAGAGGTACATTGCCTACCAGTGGGCTGCCCACCCACGATCTCTGCCACAGGCACTAGAGGGTGGGGAACAGGGCAGGCGGGACCAGGGCTGGGAAAGCTCTGGAGCCCTCACATGCACCCAGTCCAGATGGGAGAAGCACAGACTGTCCTAAGGGCCTTACATCACCTCCACAGAAGCTGAACTTGAAAAATCTTCTAGGTGCCAGGCATGAATGTGAGCACTTCTCATGCGTTAACTGATTTAGTTCTTAAAACAATCCTGTGAGCAGGTACTATTGTTGTCCCTAATTGATAGCTGGGAAACTGAGGCCCAGAAAGGTTAAGAAACTTGCCCGAGTTCACACAGCTAGTAAGAGGCACAGCAGCATGCAAATCCAAGCCATCTGGCCTGAGAGTCCATGCTCTTAGCCAGCTTGTTTAATATCCCCCAAGTCCTAGCGGCAGCCCCTTCTTACAGGTAAGGAAGGTGGGCCTCTGTGTACTGAGCCACTGTGCTTTATGGCATCGCTGGCTGCCGCATTATGGCTGGTTCCTCTACCCTCCCCTCCTCGAGTGCGTTCAAACGGCAGACTCGCCTCTGTGACTTAATAGTGATAGGAGCACTGCCATCTCTAATCATCACCATCAGCCCAGGAGGCAGGGGCCTGTGCCCCACTCTGCAGTCTGAGGCCACACGGCTGCTAAGTGACAATGCAGAGGTGCCACTCAGGCACACTTGGATCCAAAAGCCATGCTCTTTCCACCACCCAGCTGGACACCCTGTCCCGTCTGGCGACCTCTCAGAGGAAGGGGAAAGATGCAGATATCTGCCTAGGCCTGGGCCACAAAGCGAGAGGCAGGCTGCATCCTCTTTGCTTGCAGCTGCTGGGTCCTAGGAGCATCTTCTGACAGGGCCTGCTGAGCCGGATGTTGGTAAAAAGAAGCCACTTTGGCACCAATTGCTTAGGACAGAAAAACTGGCTTCAGAGACACCTCACCCAGAGGTCGTGCTCTCAGAGTGAGAACAGATTCAGGGAGGGGTGCGCGGGTGGCTGGGAGGGGAATTCAATTTGGTGGAATGCCCTCCAGGGAGCCCAGGCTCGGCATCCAATGTCCTCGCTCTAGCTCCTGTAAACCCTGCAAGCCGGGCACCAGCACGAACTCGTTACCCTTCCCCATTTGCAGCCTGCCTGGCCCCACAGGCTGGGGAGGAGGCTGTAAGAGCCATGTCCAAACTGACATGCACCAGGATGCAGGGGGCAGCTCAGGGTCCCCATACGTCGACTCAGCCAGGCGGGCCAGGGTGGGCACTGCTGCCACCTGACCACTCCCTGCAGGGCCCAGCTCACAGTGAGGTCACTGATGATGGAGGCAGCCAGAATCAGGAAGGATGGCACTCAGCACCCAACTTGAGTCCAGAGAAAGAAGCGGCCGTGTAACAAGCAGCTTAATTCAGGCCAGTTCATCTTCTATGTTCAGGAATCATCTGGCTTCCACACCCCTCATGGGTTCACCCCAAACTGGAACCTCCTCCAGGCCCCTAGAATGCCCCTAAGCCCTCCTCCTCCAGATGCCTTCCCATAAGCCTCTGTATCGTAAGACCCATTTGTGGTAACAATAACCATAGCTACCACCTACCAAGCAGGTTCTATGCGTCGGGCAGGCCCTGGGCTGGGGGTTGATGTTTTCATTAGCTCAACTTCACAAAAAGACTCAGGATCAGAGAGAAATGACTTGCCCAAGGTCACAAAACCAGGAAGCAGTGAAGTCTGAATTTGAACCCAGGTCCAGCGGGCTCCAGAGGCACAGAACCTCAAGCCAGTAAAGGACTGACCACGTCATCACTTGTGATCACCTTCTACTCATCCCTCTCTCTGAGCACCCAGAAAGACCCCAGAGAGGCCCCGGGGAAGGTGTGCCAGTGTGTGTGTCGGCAGAGTTGGGGGCTCTTCGCTGTGCCATTTACCCCTGTATTCCTAGCAGCCAGCACCGGGCATGGCACAAAGCAAGCATTTATTGAGTGAAAGAGTAAGTCAATCAACACCAGCTCTCCCTGCCCAGTGCCTGGGACCCTACACAACCTCCTTTCCCAGGAGCCAGCCGCCCACTGTGGCTCATCCGCCGGCTGAAGAAAGAAGGCTCTGCCTCACTGCCAGGACTGCTGCAGGCACTGGATGACAGGGAACCCAGGGCCTGCCAAGGCTGCTCTTGGGAGACAGACAGCCCAGGGGACCTCAGAACCCCCCAAGGGCTCACCTGAGCAATCCCCAACCACATTTATTACAACAGAAAGCATAAAACATTCATATATCCTTGGCCCTTTGCATATTCATATAGGTTCTCATAGCAGCTCCAGTGTGAATGACGAACGAACAGGGGCCCAGAGAGGTCAAGTGGCTTGGACTCGGCCACACAGATGGTTCAGGGCAGAGTGAGGACTTGTGCCCATGTCTTCTGACTCCAGGTCCAGGTTTCTTTCCACCATTCCAGGCTGCCTACTCTCCATCAGGCTCAGTGATTGGAATGGGGCTGAAGGGATGAGATTTAAATCACAGGCCCTGAGGACTTTTACAAAATGGGATTGGTTTAGCCCTATTCCTCCCAGCAGTGTTCCCCAACGCGCTCCCTCTAGCCCGGTGGATGGTCTGAGCAATAGCTACACCCATGCCGTACAGTTTCAGTCTGCAGCCTCCCCCAGCCTCCACCAATTCCCTGAACATTTGCAAGTGTTTAGAGAGAAGGCGAGGGGGAGCTTCCTGGATCACATCTCTGATTTACACTAGTAGCCAAAGCTCCAAAGACTCTGTCAAGATCTAGAGCAGCCATCCTTCCCAGGGAGGACATGGGGTGTTGGGAAGGTCTGTGTTCCAGGCAGGTAAGGCAGCCAGGCTCTGAAACTGGAATCCACATATTTCAGATTTGAGGTTAAAGAAACTTAAACCTGCTTTCCTCCCTCCTGACTCAGGCGTCCTCTCTAGGAGTCTATCCTAAGACTATATTTTATGCACAAAGATGATAACTGCTGCATTATTTTTAATAACAAAAAATTGGAAGTGACCTTCGTCCAACATTAGCGGGATGGTTGAATGAATTATGGCACATCCATATGCAATAATTGCAGCCATGTAAAACATTCTTTATGAAAAAGTTTAAAAGAGGGAAACATTTATGATATAACATTAGGTCAAAAAAAGAGAGAAAGGACATAAAATTGTATGCAGAGGGAAAAAAGCACACGGAAGAAAAGACTGGAAGGAAATGAGCCAAGATGTCAACAGAGGCTGCATCCACGTGGCAGAACGAGTTATTTTTCACCTGCTTTATACTTTTTGATACTTTCTCTTTTTTCCCTACATTCTCATGATAATCAGGGGAAAAAAAGCTACCTAAATTCACACACACAACCCTCTCAAGGGGAGTGAATTGTCCAAAGAGCCAGGAAGGTTGCGATGCTGACTTGTTAGAGGGAGAAAAGTAGGTCCTCTGTCCCTTTTCCCATAACACAAATACCCCGGACAGGGCCATACACTTGGCGGGCCATCCCTTGTAAATGTGCTTTTGAGATTTTCCTGGGAATTTTCATCTGACTTGCTCTTTGGCTGTTAACTTCAGGAGCCTGTGTCTCTAAGGGGTGAGGAATACAGGTGATGAATTTCCATCTCCAGCCCCAGACAGCCCGTCTCTCAGAAGGAAAGCAGCCAGGCTGCTGCCAGCATCTTTGCACAGGAAAAGCCTGCAGAGAGGGGGCTGGCAACTGGGATGAGTGTTAAATTCAAAATCCAAGGCCATGCCCACAGTAGGGCACCTCGTGGTCTCTCCAGATGAGAGAGGCTTTCAAGGCTCTGGGTTAGGAGAATCTCAGGCTAGGAAGGGCAGAGACGTCAGCAAGTGAGGCTGCAGATCAAACACAGGCCGCTGACACGAGGCAGCACCTGTGCTGCTCCTAACATGCGACCATTCTGTTTGTCCACCAAGTCAGCGTGCAAGAGACACACCTCCAAGACTTTAGGGCGGTGCACGGCCCCACTCATCGGAAAAGTGTTGGGTTTCTCTGTGAAAACACCCAAGATCATTTTACAGCTGCACTTGGAGGACTGCATTTACACCCGGTCCTCTGCGTCCTTCAGAACGCCAACCTTCTCTGTGGAAACCTATCTCCATCCCTCACCATCCTCACACATTTCCAAGCTTATTTGCTGTAAAAAATAAATGATGGGAGCATACGAAGAAGTGTGTAAGGAGAGAGAGAAGCGTCTGGGTTCCCCCCAAATCTAGAAGGCTCAGAAGCCTGGACAGCCCAGAAGGAACTCAGACTTGGGAGCCCCTGGGTCTGGAAAATAGGGACACAGAAGAAATGCCGCTCGGCCACCAGGAGGTGGTGGGTCTCCCCGTCGTCACTCACCAAACATGTTGCCCTCGTAGCCGTCTTTCGTGAGGGGCCGGAGCTCATTTTTCCCCATTGCGTAACGCCGGTAGCTCTGCCAGGCAAACTGCATCATCTGCAGATAAAGCAGGAAACAGGACCTGAGCGTGGCCGTTCCAGACATGCGGACTGGCCATTGGCATTGCCCTCTGCAATAGGCTTACCACATTTAAAAAATTACCTTCCAAATTGAGGAAGACAACCTCCTCTCACCATAATTTTACTCATAGTTACAGCTGCCCGGAAGGCCATTCTCCTCAGACAACCCCACGTGTCTAGAGTTTAACCATAGATTCCTTAGAGAAGACACGAAAAGCACTAAATACATTCTAACCATCCTTCAGTGCCAAAACGAAAAGCCACCTCTTCCATGAAGCCTTCTCTGTTGTGCTCTGGCCCAAAGGGATCCTCTGAAGAGAAGGGAACAACTCATTGAGTGACGCCTGTCATAATCCAATAGGATAACCCCCTGAGTTAGGGACTGTTGACTCCACCTTGTAGACAAGGAGATGGTCAGATATGAGGTAACTCACCCAAGGTTACCCGAATCAGTGAGAGCGCTGGGAACAGAACCCATGCCCTCTGGCTCTGCAGCCTTAGGTCTCTCCCCAAAGCCTTGGTGCTGTCCCCGAAAGTCACTGCATGAGTCTCTGAACTCCCCCAACATTGGCTTGACCTACTCTGGCCATCCCAGGCTCCCTAGCACCCTGGCTGGTCACTGTTATTTTTTGTTTCCCTAGCTCTGGACCATAAGCTCCTTGAAGCCAGAAACTATGCTTGCCTAGCCTCAGTTTCCCCCACAGCACCCAGCACAGGGCTTGGCACACGTAGGCAGCAATGAGTAACGCAGTGCGTGCACGAGTTCTTACTACACTAAGGCAACGATATCAGCTCCCCGGGAGCATCACGAAAGCACCGTGACCCCCTAGCTGCACTTGGCACTGGAGGCTGGAGGAATGCAGGGTGACAATCCACCTCCAGCCCTGCTCCCTAGTCCCCCAGGGTCTCCCTTTTGCCTCTATGATGCTCCTTTTTTGCCTTCGCATGGCAGGCTGCAGAAGGAGGACAGCGGAGGAAAGAGGAGGGAGCCAGGGGCAGGCAGTGGAGGCACAGCTGAGGGACAGGTGGCTGGGGAGGCAGCCTGGTGTGGTGGAAAGAACTCAGGCTTCGGGGCCAGAGAGGCCTGGGTTCTAATCCTACCTCTGCCTCCATCTCTTTGACTTTAAGTGACTAAACATCTCTGAGCCTCAGTTGCCTCATCTTTGAAATGGGAATAAACAAGGCCTGCTTTGCCACAATCCTGAAAGGTTGAAATGAAAGAAAGTAGCTGGAAATGCCCAGCTGCCAACCTGATGCCGCAAGTGATCAACAAACACTAGTTCTCTTCTCTCCTCAGCCTTTGAAACACCCGTCTGGTTCTCCAAGACTCATCCACCCCCCTCCTTCCACCCATCCTACTAGTTCTCAAACGTTAGCTGCATCAGGATCACTTAGAGGCTTGTTAAAACAGACTGTCGGGCCCCATCCCTGGGTTTCTGATTCAGCAGGTCTGGGGTCAGCCAGAGAATTTGCTTTTCTAACAAGTTCCCACGTGATGCTCCTGGTCCACGGGCCACATTTGAGAACCACTGATTTATTATATGTGTTTATTTCTATTGCTCACCTCACTTCTAGACACTGTCTGGCATCCTTTGGCTTTTCTCCTTCTATCTTCCCGCCTCCTTCCTGCCTCAGCTCCCTCTTGCTGGACATCTCCACCTGCGTTCTCCATGCTCTGGGACTCCTGGTGCTCAGAAACCACCTCTTCTAGGCACATCTGGACAGTGACCACCGCCACGCTTGCTGCTGTGGCCAAGTGCACAGGCCAGGAGGGCAGACCTCACAGGCTTATGGCCCAGGCTCTCTGTGAAATGGCAGAATAATCTACTACGGCCTCTCCACTTCACAGACGATGAAACTGAGGCTCAGAGATGGGAAGTAGTTGAGGCGGCACAGCCAGCAGGGCTGGAATCCAGCTCTTTCAACTCCCAGGCCAGCGGACCCACCTCCATGCTTGGCCCAGTACTGGCTTCCCATGTGACACACATGCAAATGTCATGGTAACGCACGCCAAGCACTTGGCACAGGCTTTGGGGCCTGGTTCTGTTCCTCTGTTATTTTCTACTTATCTTAAATTGGCAATAACGGAAACTAATTGCCGGGTATGAGCGCTTAAGGGAGACTGGCCTCCTCCCTCAGTCTCTTATCTGGGGGGCTCCCTTGACCAAGTCAGTTCGAGAGGAGGGAGGGGAAGTGGCAGGTGGGAGAGCAGCAGGAGGCTGTTAAAACATAAATGACAGCAGGAAAGGAGCAGGGGTCTGGAGGAGGGTACTGCACCCCACCCTCAAAACCCATCCTGCTTAAGAGAGAGAGAGAGAAGTGGGTGTGCAGAGTAATTAAGAGAATCATAGGTATCTACATGTTCTCAAAGGAGCTGTCACTGTGGGGACGTGGAGATGTTTGGAATGCGGCCCGTTCTCACAGTCATCCACATCCCCGGAGGGGAATGAAGGCACAAATAATCCCTATGTCACATGGGACTGGATTCAGAAGGCAGTCAGAGCCAGCTTCAATCACACACACACACACAAGTACACACAGACCCCAAACACTCGTGCCTCTCCCACCTCGGGTCACGAGCGGCTCAGCCCAGGCGCTGGGTGAGCAGGCGGCGGGAAAGACCCCCAGCCGGGCGATCCTTATTTCTCTTCCTGACGCACCCTACGCAAGGGGCTGCCAGGGGTCCCGTGCTGTGCTCAGCGCAGTAGGGCTGCAGCCCTGGTAGGAACGCTCTCCCGGCCCCCACCCTCTACTCCCCTGCCAACCACTTATCTTCCTTCAGATCCCAGCTGAAAGGGCATTTTTAGGGGGAGACTAGCCAAGCCTAAATCGGGCCCCCACTCCCACCCCGCATTCCTGATGCCAGGTCCCAGAGCAGCTTGCAGTCAAGCTCCTATACTTGCGATCATTTGGTCGGTGCCCCCACCCCCTATTCACTACTGCACGCCCGGCAATGCAGGGACAGGCAAGTAACAGGTGCTCACTAAATATTTGTTGAATGAATATAAGAACAAACAAGGAAATTGGCTCTGGAGCTTAACACATGGCTGGGAGACTCGATATGGACCACACATGTCACAGGTATGACAGGTAATGGGTCAGAGGGGAGGGGCTTCTGAGCAACAGAGGTGCTCAGAAGAGGGCAAGCATGCATATCAAAGGATGCTTCATGGGCACCCAAGTGTCCTGATGGACAGGTAGGAGTGTGAGGGGCACAACAAGGGGATGATCCACAGAAAGGCTAATCTCACTCTGGAACTGGTGATATGTGCCTTGGGTGACTCCTGGACTTGGCTTTAGAGATGGACAGTCCCTGGCTTCATGCTTAGGCAGTTCTAAGACGTCAAAGATCACCCAGGCCACTTTCTGCTCCATGCAAGTTCCTTAAAAGGATTAAGTCACCTCTCTTTGAACACCCCCCATGACGGGGTGCTCTCCACCTTACCAGGCAGCCCATTTGATTATGGAGTTTCACAAAGTTCTTCCTTAACCAATCCAAATCTGTTTTCCCCTACAGGCCATGGGGAAGACAGCTCATACTGCTTCTACACCACAGACCTTCAGCCAGGGGAAGCCAACTCTCAAGTCACCCTAGGCTGCCTGTTGGCCAGCTGCAGAGCCGGCTCCTCCAACAGTTCTCCTATGGCAGAGCTTTGAATCCCCCGAAACTGCAGACCCACACATCACAACAGTTTCCCAGGGTGCCCCAAGACTTTGTCACCCATTTGTTACGGCTGGCTATACTTTTGGTAATGAGCAGGAATCGGAGTGCAAACTCTCCCTGGTTACATCTGGACCAGATCCTGCGTGTGTCACTTGCCATTTGTCCCTAACAATTTCATCTCGTTGAATTCTGCCTACCATTCTGTGCTGTCAGGATCTTTCTGGAGCCAGATCTTATCATTCAATGTGTGTGTGTCTGCATGCTTTGGGTAATCTGCAAACTTAATGGGACTGCCATCTGTGTCTCCCTCCAAGTTTTGGACAGAAATATTAAAGGCTGGGCTGAAGACAGTTGGGGAAAGAGCAGCAGGGGCCTCTCTCCTGTATCCAGTGCTGCTCTTTGAGTGTCATCTGTCAGCAGGTGAGGAACCTGTCAAACAGTCAGCACAACCCCTGTATCTCCATTTTTGTACATGAGGATGCTGTGAAGGACAGAGCTGAAATACAGAAACACTCTGCCCCAGTACAGCTAGTACAGAAAAAACAGATTGCTTTTTTTTTCCTTAAAGGAAAATCAGGGGTTAGACTGATGATTTGTTCTTAGAGAACCCATTTTGGCTCCTACGGATCATTACTTTTTGTTCTAAATACTTGCAAATCACTAACTTAAAAACCTATCAGTCCCACTAAGATGGCTACAATCAGAGAGACAAACAATAGGTGTTGGCCAGAATATGGACAAATTGGAATTCTCACAAATTGCTGGTGGGAATGAAAATGGTGCAGTCACTTTGGAAAAACGTTTGGCATAAAAAGTTAAATATAGAGTTACCATGTGACCCAGCAGCTCCGCTCCTCGGTGTAGAACTGTGCCGAAAAGACTTAACGTAGCAGACCTGAGACATCTGTCCTTAGAAAGTCCTGATAGCAAGGCTGGCCCTTAGCTGGCGTCTGGGAATGTGGATTTAGTGAGTTCTCACCATTCTCTAACTGGTTAGAGTGGTTAACTGTATCTAGACCGTTTGTACAAACAATATGGCTTATGCTGAACACCTGCTTTCCTTCTGGGAGTCTGGAATTTTGGTACATGCTAGACAGGGTGCCTACATGCCAACCTCCAATAAAAACCTGGGGCACTGAGTCTCTAATGGGCTTCCCTGTAGACACCACCTCACCGTGTTGTCACAGTTCAGTGCTGGAGGAATCCAGGGTGTCCTGTGTGACTCCCCCGGGAGAGGACTCTTGAAGTTTGCTCCTGGTTTCCTCTGGCTTCTCCGCATGCACTCTTTCCCTTTGCTGATTTTGCTTTTTGTC